AAAAAAGAAGAAGAAATTAGGAAAGAAAATGAAAAAGAAATATGTAACTATACACCTAGACATAAATGAGTATATCCTAGAGATAGAAGACTTTACAACTGAAAATAGAAAAGTATACTGTTAGAGATAGAAGACTTTACACCTATAGATACAGCAGTATACTCCTAGACATAGAAGGCTTTACACCTACAGATAGAAGATTATACTTCTAGAGATAGAACACTATACAGCTAGAGACAAAAGAGTGTACTCCTAGAGATAGAAGACATTATACCTGGAGATAGAAGATTATACCTCTAGAGATAGAAGACATTATACATAGAGATAGAATATTATACTTCTAGAGATAGAAAACTATACACCTAGAGATAGAAGACTTTACAGCTAGGGATAAAAGATTATACTTCTAGAGATAGAAGACTGTACATCTAGAGATAGAAGAGTATACTCCTAGAGATAGAAGACTTTACAAATAGAGAAAGAAGATTATACTTCTTGAGATAGAAGACTATACACCTAGAGATAGAAGAGTACACTCCTAGAGATAGAAGACTTTACAACTAGAGATAGAAGATTATACTTACAGAGATAGAAGACTTTACACCTAGAGATAGAAGATTATACTTCTAGAGATAGAAGACTATACACCGAGATAGAAGAGTATACTCGTAGACATAGAAGAATTTACACCTAGAAATAGAAAAGTATACTCCTAGACATAGAAGACTTTATATCTAAAGATAGAACTGTATACTCCTAGACATAGAAGACTTTACACGTAGAGATAGAAGAGTATACTTCTAGAGATAGAGGACTATACACACACACACACACACACACACACACACACAAAAAAAAAATAAAATAAAAAATAAAAAAAATAAAAAAAGAAGAAGAAATTAGGAAAGAAAATGAAAAAGAAATATGTAACATGTGTTTGTGGAATGGTTCTAGAATATTTAAAAGGATCTGAAGCTATTATATTAGGTTTTGTTTCCTTTTGGTCTTAAAACACATTTTTTTTTTTTAAAGCTACTAGGGCATTAAATTATAAGAAATTACTCCAAGGGATAGTTTAAAACTTCATGCAAATGATTTACTGAAAATATTAAAAAAGGTAAGTTCCAAATGCCACCTGAAATACTTGTTCCATTAGGAAAAATAACAACAACAAAACAAAAAATAACACCTATCAGTTTGTAGAACTGATGGAGCCAATCCTATCTATTATTCAGTTATTATTTTACTCACATAGTAAAACCTTTCCAAAGAAGCAACTAACCATGTATCATATCCTATGGAGTCAAGTTATCACCACTTAAGCACTTAAGGAAAGTTAGGCAACATTTTATGAGTATCACATACTTTTAAAAGTAAAGCAATAGGTAGAAAGAAAGCTATTTTTCTGATGGGGCATCTGTAACTTGGTATTTTTGTACTCTATCATAATCTTTTTAAAAAAAAGTCTTAAATTTTGTGTCTCAAAGTAGATGACTTAAAAAAAAAGGGGGAGACAGCTGCAGCCCTTCAGTATCTTCTAAGAATTTAGTGGTTGCAATCATTATAGTCTAGTAATATAGACCAACTGGGTTCCAATCTTGGTTCAGTTCTTACAGGTTCTGTGACTCTGGGCATGGCACTCTGATGTACTTTCCTCATCTGAAAAATCGGGATAATAATTCCTAAGGTTGTTGTGAGGATTAAATGAGTTAATATGTAAGGCACTTAGCATATTCTTGAAAGCAATGCTCTATTTTTTTCTAACAATCTACATAACTGGGACGATAATAAGATAAAACAGTTAACTTTAACTGATGTGGGCAAATGGATATTTTTAAAGAAAAGATGCCATAAGATAGCATACAATCAGTAAAAATTTGTATATATTTTACTGAGGATGTCATGAAAGAAATTTCAGTGCAGTAAGAATGTCTGAAATATAATTCCTGATATATTTGCTACCTGAGGACATATACTAAATAAAAAATTAAAAAATAAAATTTTCATCTCATAATATGTCTCATAAAATGTAAAAGAATGGAAAAAGTTCAATAAACCACTTGACTATAAATCTATTCCAACTGGAAAATGGTATCCAAGATGGTTGCTTGGGTAAACTGCAAGGGTTTACTCTCCCCTACCCACAAATCACAGAAGGCTTCAGGAACTTAAAATGGAAGCCTTCTCCTTATGGAATGTATTTTCAACTGCATGTGGGTTGTTATGATTGAGTTTCCCAAAAGGACATAGTAGAGGGCTTCCCTGGTGGCGCAGTGGTTGGGGGTCCGCCTGCCGATGCAGGGGACGCGGGTTCGTGCCCCTGTCCGAGAGGATCCCGCGTGCCGCGGAGCGGCTGGGCCCGTGAGCCGTGGCTGGGCCCGTGAGCCGTGGCCCAGCTGAGCCATGGCCGCTGAGCCTGTGCGTCCGGAGCCTGTGCTCCGCGGCGGGAGGGGCTGCAGTGGTGAGGGGCCCGCGTACCAAAAGAAAAAAAAAAAAAGGACATAGTAGAGCATTTCTCCAATAGTTTTACCTAACCTTTTGGTCCTCTTAAGGATGCCCTTATTTCCAAGTACACTAGCTGATCGTAGAATGATTTATCCTTACAATAACCTGACAGAGGAAAAAGACAAAGAAAGGAGGTGAGACACTAGGTAGAAGAACGCTTTGATATTATATGCCACTGGTTTCCAGACAGATGTGAGAATTGGTCAGTGGTCCATAAGGATCTTACTAGTGCTACGCATGTGGCAGTGCAGCTCATGCTACTCATCTCTCTCTTGACTTCATGGGAGAAGAGCACTAAGAAATCCTCGTCCAGCCCCAAGCTTTGCTTTTCAGAAGGAAACTCGGTGACCCTCAAGGGAGAGACAGATCAGAAGTCACTGGGCAGTCAAGGAAGAAGAGTGAAGATGATTTCAAAATTGAATAATCTTTGCATTGATAAGTACATTAGAGATAATTTAGTTCAACCCTCTGTGTAGTGCAGGATTCGCCTTCACAGCATCTCTGAGAGATGATTCCTCAGGCTCTGCCTAAACACCTCCAATAACTGGGATCTTCCCTCCTCAAATCTGCTAGCTCCAAGCCAGAAATCTGGGATATATTATAGATTCTTTTTTTTTTTTAAACATCTTTATTGGAGTATAATTGCTTTACAATGGTGTGTTAGTTTCTGCTTTATAACAAAGTAAATCAGTTATACATATACATATGTTCCCATATCTCTTCCCTCTTGCATCTCCCTCCCCCCCCCCCTCCCTATTATTATAGATTCTTTACATCATTCATATCCAATTAACCACTGAGGTAATTTACCTGTCAAATCTCTCTTAAATCTGTCCACTGTTCCCCTTCCCCACTATCTTAGTTGAGGCCTTTCTTTCTCGTCCCTTTATGTGGTTCTGCAATGGTATCCAACTACCAGATTTCCTGTTACCAAATAATTTGCCTTTAATTCATCCTCACAAGGCAGCCTGCAGTGGACATTCTAAAACACAAATCTTTTTTTAGATTTTTTTTTTTGATGTGGACCATATCGAATTTATTACGATATTGCTTCTGTTTTATGTTTTGGTTTTTTGGTCGCGAGGCATGCGGGATCTTAGCTCCCTGACCGGGATCGAACCCACACCCTCTGTGTTGGAAGGTGAAGTCTTTTTTTTTTCTTTTAAATAAATTTATTTATTTATTTATGGCTGCATTGGGTCTTGGTTGCTGCTCGCGGGCTTTCTCTAGTTGCAGTGAGCGGGGGCTACTTTAGTTGTGGTGCCTGGGCTTCTCATTGAAGTGGCTTCTCTTGTTGAGGAGCACGGGTTCTAGACGTGCAGGCTTCGGTAGTTGTGGCTCGTGGGCTCTAGAGCGCAGGCTCAGTAGTTGTGGCGCACCGGCTTAGTTGTTCTGAGGCATGTGGGATCTTCCCGGAACAGGCCTTGAACCCATGTCCCCTGCATTGGCAGGTGGATTCTTAACCACTGTGCCACCAGGGAGGTCCTGGAAGGCGAAGTCTTAACCACTGGACTTCCAGGGAAGTCCCTAAAACACAAATCTAATCATATCATTCCTCTGCTTAAAACCCTTTACCCTTTAGTGGTTCACTACCACAAGCAGCAAAAAAAATCCAAGGTTTTAGCCTGAAATGCATGATCTTGTCTAACTCTCCAGGGCACACCTCAGCAACACTAAATGGTTGTGTTATCCACATGTACCAAGCCGTTTCGCATCTCCATACTTTTTGCTCATGTGTTGCCTCTTCTTTGCTCATGTTGTTACTCTTCGTTCCCTCTGTCAACCAGCTAAATAAGTTCAGAAATTATCTCCAGGAAGGCATCTTTCTTGCTTTTTAAAAAAATTTTAATTTTATTAATTATTTGTGTGTGTGTGTGGCTGCATTGTGCGGCATGCGGGATCTTAGTTCCCTGACCAGGGATCGAGCCCACACCCCCTGCAGTGGCAGCGCAGAGTCTTAACCACTGGACTGCCCGGGAAGTCCCCTGGAAGGCATCTTTTGACACCCTTCCCTGTGTAATATAAAAATATTCTGTGTGGGGAATTCCCTGGCAGTCCATTGGTTGGGACTCTGCGCTTTCACTGCTGCGGGCCCAGGTTCAATCCCTGGTCGGGGAACTAGGATCCCGCTAGCTGCATGGCATGGCCAAAAAAGCAAAACAAAAAAATTCCGTGTGTATTCTCTATCACTGCACTCCTCATATTATACTGAAATCATTAACTAGCTCATCTCTTTCCCTCCAGGTGAGTCTCTCAAGGCAGGGACTATGTCAGAATCCTAGCACATGGCACAGGACTCATGGTAACAGGTGTTTAATATATGCCTAGTACAAATTAAATACAGGACTTTTTCTGATGTGAGTTAAAATTTATAACTCCAATTTCCAACTTTTGCCCCATGGAACAATAAAAACCATCTTTCCAGGGAAATAAGCATTAGGCTGGTACATAAAAAGACAAACTTTAAATACTCTTTACGTGACATTTGCACTTACCTAAGTTGCTGTACGTTGCACTACAGGGATTCGGGTCCATAGGACCTGAAATGTCTCCCTTTTCCTCTTCCCTTTCCAGTTCAGGCAGCGGCAATGCCGATGTGACTGAAGTACAGCCCCCACCATCTTGCTTCACAACAGTGCTTGGATCCCGAGGAGAAAAATCCTCTGTCACTTCATGGGTCACGTGACTGAAACAAATCAGACCACCATCACACTGGCATTCAAAGGTTTTTGCTAAAATTTAGATTTATGGAAGGCACATATTGCCATAAATGTAAATAACTGGCCCTATAGTCACAGCAATGGGTCATAAACCCCAACATACTTGTCTGAATATAAGGCAGTCTTTCATGTAGGCAGATACTTCTATCATATATATATTGGGATACTTGATACATACTTGATTCATACATATTGAGAATTCAGTTTGGTAGAGGAGCTATAGTAGGCTCAGAGGGAAGTTTGAGAATAACAGGTAAGGAGTGGAACTTTTTTTTTAGGTAGTAGGGGTAGAGGGAACTGAATGCTTAACCTGTTAAAGAGTAATACACTAAAGTATTTAGCATATTTACTACATTTACCATACTATAGTACAGTCATCCCTTGGTATCTGAAGGGGGCCGGTTCTAGGACCACCCACAGGATACCAAAACCCACAGATGCTCAAGTCCCTTATATAAAATGGCATTTGCATATAACCTACACACATCCTCCCATATACTTTAAATCATCTCTAGATTACTTATAATACCCAATACAACGTAAATGCTATGTAAGCAGTTGCCAGTGCACTGCGAATTCAATTTTTGCTTTTTGGAACTTTCTGGAATTTCTTTTCCCCTAATATTTTTAATCTATGGTTGGTTGAATCTGCAGATGTGGAACTCGCAAATAAAAAGGGTGAACTGTGCTATAATACTATAATAAATATGAAATACTTTACAGTATTTACTTTATTTAGTATGTAATATTTACTACACACTAAAGTATTTACGAAACTATTTAGTAAAGGATCAGGAGTAAAGTTGAGATTTAAAAAAGGAAGTAAAGCAATTATTTTAGGTAAACTGAGGCCTGGAAGCCTTGTTGCTAGGAGCACAGTGAAGCATCAACCTTTTGCCTGTATGCATGCAGCAGGCAAGGCAAATGGAAAAGAAAGTTCTGACCTCTAGTTAATCTCATCTATTAAAATGAATCTCAAGCATCCCATTGGCCACATACCAGAGGATGGTCATCCATAGTGCTTTGTGTTTCCCGATCTTGTTTCACTGCTGCCTGCTCATTTGCTTATGGCTATGCCTTCCAGTCTTCCCCACATCCCACTCTGCCTGAACTTCCAATTCTGTTGCTATAGAGTACAAGGGGGTGTAATGATTATTAAATGTTGGTGGAGAAAACCGGCCTAGTTAGAAAATCTCATTGGGCTGGTTCAATGAAACAAATTCAAAATCAGGCACCTTTAATGGTTTCTGGGTCTACTAAAAGTATTCCTAGACTGTCACACACTCACCAGCTAGCTCTTCTTCCTGTTTCTTTTTGCTTTGTTTTGTTTTAATGGGCAAAGAGAAAGAATGAAAGGAAACATCTTATATACTGTGACATGTTATTTCTGGATTTTCAAATGGCAGTGAGTCATGGTGACATTTACAAGTTTCTTTAAAAGAGGTACTTTGTTTGATCATGTGTCATCAGAACATATATCACCTGTGGATTTGAGGGAGTAGATCTGAAGGAGGAGTACTTTCTTATCAATTTTTCATTATGGAAATTATGCATGTGCCAGAACAGAAAAATAAGCCTTGAAGTCTGCTGGATACACAACTTCAAAAATATTCTTTCAAAGCTGGCAGAGCCAGAGGTCTCTCTGTACTGAGAGTAAGCAATGCGTGGGAGGTACCATTATGGAATCTGGCTCTTGGGGATAGGGTGAGGTGGGAAGGGATCAGTTCACTAGCAGTCAGCAGGGTGGTTTATGTAAAGGAGGCCTCACATGCTAAAGCATGCTGACTCTTCTTAATGGGCTGCCTTAGATTATCAACCCAAAACAAAGCTAGTTTCTCATAATATGGAACATCATAAATTCAAGGTAACAAGGGGCTCTACTTCCACGCGTTAGCGAAGAAAGCAAAGTGACACTTCTGAGACCCTCTTAGACGCCACTTAGTGTCACTGAGAAGTTATCAACATGCTTCAGGAGAGGGAAAATGATCTTTGCTGGGCAAAAGTTAATTTAAGCCATTTTAAATTTCAAAGCAATAAATATAGTGATTAAAAAACATCATCCCCCTTTGACAGGAAAAACATTAAACCTCCAGACGCTCTCTTCTTATTCTCGAGTCAACTTGAGAGGTTTCTAAAAAGGTGTTTTTAGGCCCCTAATCTCTGCAGCCTTGCTCTTGCCTTTTCTCTTACTTCCCCCAATCTCATCGTTATTACTAAAAGGAAGCTCTCTTTTCCATTTGTCAAAAATGATTGGTGAAGGCGGGTTCAGAAACCATGGCTCCACCCTTGCTTGTCTGTTTTCCTCCCAGGGAATGGGCTATTTATATTAAGCCTATTGTAAAAACTACAAGAAAGAGTTGCTGCTATTAACCAGTGAGGAATTCCCTGGGCCTGTTCCCACATACATGAAACATAACTCTGTACTCTTAAGGGGTTCTCAAAACAAAATATGGATGCTAAAAAGCAAGAAGTATTAAAGACTCACCCACTGTAGTCACTCATACAATTCCCCATTAAAGGAAATTCTACAGGGCCTTCTTCAGTCTGTTAGCCATGTTCTGAAGCTCTGATGAACCATAGCTCCCACTGAGTTCTGGAGGACTACAAGTGGGGCAAGATATAAGAGGCTCGAATCCTGCACCTTAATATAACCCACTGCACCTTGACCTTTACCTGAGGGGTTTGGTCTGGGAAATGAGCCAAATTACCTTTGGGAAACTAAGCAAAGTGAAAGCTACTTTTATTAACTCTTTGAGGACCAGGGCAGCACAACCTATATTCTCTACAAAGGTCAGTTTTCACAAGCACATTTTAAATAAGTGCACTGGTATATTAAATCACCAGTTAAAACAATTGTCATCTATGAAGAACTATGCAAAAGAGTTGATGAAAGTTAAATCACATGGATTTGCAAATGGATACTAAGATGTTTAACCTGCATTTACAGTGACAGCAGCGTCTAAAAGGAAGAACTTTAAAAAATGCATCAATGATATGCCATGTCGATGCTTGAGGGAAGAAAAGCTCTTTGTATGATTAAAATGGTAAAAGAGAGAGGAAAGGGGAAAGGAAGAGGTTTTGAGAGTTCAAGCTTAGATGTGGTAACATGCTGTGACTAAAAAATGAAAAAGAATCAAGAACAGCATCAGAGAAGGTGATTCAGTCACTACGAATAATCAAATTGTCCAGGAAGAAAAAAGGAAGTAAAATCCTATAATTAATTTATCTTAGGCATATTAATTTTATAAGGGAATATAATTTTTGACCATTGACTTTTTTAATGTTTCATATTTAGATATAAAATCAGAAAACCCTCCCAAATAGTAATATGACACTTTCCAAATACAGGCTTTATCTCCTAACAAAGTGGTTCACCACTGACCTTTCATTGGGAAATGTTTGATGTAATGGAGAAAACACCAAAACAGGAATCAGAGAACCCAGATTCTGTTTCCCTATTACTTTGATCTTCTGTACAAACTAGATGACAACATCAGGAGGGAGATAATGGAGAAAATGAAAAGTCCCCCATTTCGCCCATGAGATAGATGGTTAAAAAAAAATTCTTTAAAATGAAATTACAAGAAATCTACTAGGATTTCTAATACAATATATCTTAGCACATGTCTTGAAGTAGCAAATAATGATGAAGGTAATGATTTTTTTCAGGATAGGTACAAGTTGATATTCATTATTATAAAACAGAACTGTTAACTGATAAATGGCCCACAGAGAGGAAGTTATGGCTTTTCCATTCCTGCTATTTAAATTCATGTTGAAACAATCCCTAGTTCTGTAATGCAATGTAGGATATCTGTAGTAACTATGGCATTGACATCTAGGTCCTTGATCATCAGGCTGGGTCAAACCCTGACTTTGTCTCTCTTTTCCTGACCCTCAGCATTTGTTCTACTTTCAGAATGGGAGATAGCACACATTTCTTTTTACCTCAAGCTCTTTGACCAACGTTTCATTAATGACCAGTTTTTAATTGAGATTTGGTAATGTCTGACCTGACACAAAAAAAATCACGTCACTATCTCCACAAAGACACATCTCATTTTCTGAACACGGAGGATGAACTTAAGGTATTCAAATGAAATGGTAACGTTGTTACAGATCTGTCTGTAATACAAATGAATCCCTTGGTAAGTTTATATCTCAACAGTCTGCAATAGTCATACATAATTCAAAGCCGCAGAAGCAATCTCCTGCGGGAAGCTCACTTGGCTTACCCAGGTAGTAGGATTAATCATTACACCATCAAATGAAATAATCCTTTTTTTTTTCCCCCTGGCAAATTCATTCAAGACAGATTTTGGTAGAAATTCTGTTAATGTCTGAATATACTTTTTAAAAAGGCAAATCAAATGCCACATTAGAAAGGATTAAAGGCCTTTATGTATCCAAGTATTTCCACGATTTCAGTTCAACTTTTTCTTCAAATTCAACCACCTTCATTCAGCTTCAGAAGGGACAGTAAATGAAATCAGGCTTCTGCAGAGACCATCTGCCTCTTGGGGCAAATGGTATCCTAAATTCTCATTTGCCAGCTCTCTTCAGCAGCTGCATCTGTCTTTAGTTGCCCAGGTCAGCCAATAAGCAAATGCGTGATTTTTAAAACCTCCTTTTACCCCTAAAGATCAGATCAAAGCAATCAGAAACAGCATTTCATGGTTTTATTACTGGTTTCCAAAGCTGCTTATTTCTGGAGTTGCTGGGGATGATGGACCTTTGCAGAAACGGGATGTGAATCAACACGAGGAGGAAAGATCAAAGTTATCGAATCCCACACTGTTTATTTACTGAAAGGGGGAAAACCTCCACTTCCTTCTGTCTCCCTACCTCTAGGACCTCCCATCGATATGACATTTCTTAATCCTATCTTAGTTTCCAGGTCATCTACTTGATTTCGTTACACTTTCCAATTACTGGCATTCTCAGGTAGAAAAGTGTTGTGTCCATT